CACAGATGAGAATTTGGATACTGGAACATGAAATGACAATGGAGTTCATCAGACTTTTCCCCAGCCATCTCCTCACTCTGTTTCCTGGCTTAGTAGCAAGAAAGGCCAGCACCACAGCGATGGTTTTTGCCAACACAGAAGAAACTGCAGTGGAGAAGATGATGCTGAAAGCTGTTTGCCGGAGAAGGCAAGTCGCTTTCTTTGGCTCCCCAATGAACAGCAAGGAAGACAAAAAGGAAAGCAGGAGAGAAATGAGGAGGATGTAAGAGAGGTCCCGGTTGTTGGCTTTGACTATGGGTGTTTCCTTGTATTTAATGAAGATTCCTAAGACAAAGCCTGTTGTTAAAGACAGGTATAGGGAAAGGAAAGCTAAAATGATTCCCAAGTATTCTTCATAAGCCAGGAAGGTGATAATCTTGTGGATACATTGATCTCGGTCTTTATTTGGATGTTGATCTTCTGGACATTTGATGCAATGATCTGCATCTAAGGAGAAGGAGAAAAGAGTGTCCAAACATCATCCATATGAATAACCATCTGCGTTCTATAATACCAGGAAGAATAATGCTGATGCAAGGGTGATCAGGGAAGGAGGCATTGTAGGGAGGGAGAGGCAAAAGTTTGTTTATTTCCCTTTTCAACATTTACCATAGCATCCTGCCTTTCCTTCAAGGAGAGAGGGGGTTTCCTTGCTTTTTATCACCCAAACAACCTTGGGATATAGGTATAGCTGAGAAACTCTCACCTCCACAGACATGTGTCTGGTGTCGACATTGTACAGCTTTCACCAAATACCAACGACATGCCTCTTTACCTTGAGCTTTTACAGTTCATATTTTGTCTTCTGGGTCCCATATCATTTGGGGGTTCCCCCCCCCCTTTTACACTTCTGACCTATTGGCAATTAATTACTTTTATATAAGTAATATTTATCCAACATCTCCAGCAACATTTCAGTTAGCTGCATTAGAGAAATTTTGTTAGAAGGATAATTGCTCACTATTAAGTTTGTACATATGTTTTTAAATAGGTAGTACAAACATTTTTGTATTTCTTCCATGTATTAATTTTAATATGATTTATTTTATTTTGTAATGTGCTTTCACTAACTGAACATTTACTATTTTAATTTTTTTTAAAAACTCATTTTCTTTTTCGTGTGGTTTTGGTTCTTTACTCACTGAGCGCACCGTTTAATATCCCTAAATAAATGCATTGTGGGCAGTGCATCCAAAGTTCTCCATTTCGCTCTCCACATTTTGGCCAGAGATTCCTATTCCTATTCTCCTTCTAACTTGGAGTCACCCACCTTCAGAAGTAGAGATTGTCCCTTCTGCACATGGAGCACAAGAATAGCAGCAAATCGGCTTTCCTTCTTGAACCACTTTGGTGGATCCAGGCAGACAGATTTTGGTACACCTGGAGAAAGGCACAGTCTAGCCATAAAGAGAAAAAGGAACATCAAGGGGAAATTGTTAGGAATTTTTGTGTCTATAGAGGTTATTCATAGAGTCTGGAAACAAACCAACTGGATCTCTGGTTCCACTGGCTCCACTCCCCTCTCTTCCAGGGAGGAGAGTCTTTGCAGAACAACATGGCAGGGAAATCTCTTTGGTGTGTTTCCTTCAACATTCATATCCCAGATAAGTATATTTAAGGCAAAAGATACAGTAACAATCTCTGAACAGCAGCAACAACAAAACAACAGCAATTAAACAGGCAATAAAACATACCAGCTACTGAAGATGCTAGCTTAAAAAAAATGATTCTAGATTCAGGTAGGTAGCTGTGTTGGTCTGACGCAGTCGAAATAAATAAATAAAATCTTTTGGAACAAGAGGGAGATAGACTGAAATTGCAGAGTTTTGAGAAACTAAAAAACAAAGTGCGAGACTGGCTTCATTATTATCAGATAATGGAGGCATATAATTCGGACAAGAAAATTGGCTTCCAGGTGGAAAAATCAAAATTAGAAACAGAACTGTTAGAACCCAAAACTAAGATTTTGTCAAGGATGTATAACTTGCTGTTGAAATGGAATACTCAGCGGGGACCCTTAAAACCCACAGGCGGATGAAGCCTGTGGACGTGGGACTCAGCGGGCACCGTGAGCGCTCTCTCCCCTTGTACAGGAGCCCGGTAACGGGCTCCGGAGTGGGAGGTGCGTGGTGCTGTGAGTCGACTGCTTCTTTCGTGCAGCAAAGCCGCACTGCCGTTTCCGGAGAGCGCTGCCTTTTTCCTGGGACAATTTGGCATCTAAAACATCTATCCGTGAGTACCTGATCTTGGAAGAGCTGAATTACTTTTAAGACTGGTGAATAAATAAATAAATTGGACTTGAAATTGAATTTAATTGGGACTTGGAATGAGAAGGTCTAAGCAGGAAGTCAACCTTCCGTTCTTTTGTTACGTGAAGAAAGCAAAGACAAAATATACTAAAGCTTGAAAATTAAATTCTGAGAGAACTAGAATTCAACACCTAAGATTTCTGAACCCCCCCTTTGACTGCAGGAGAAGAAGGGGGTTGTTTTGGACTTTATAACCCTGCGGAAGTGAGTTTAAAACAAAGTAATTTTCCACCGCCCTGAACCAGGAGCGGGCTGTCAGAACTGACGTCTTGAAGCTTGTCCAGCTCGACAGATAGTTAAAAGAAAGGTAACATTGTGACTCTACTGTTGCCTCTTGAATTTTGAAGGGGGAACTTTGGATAAAGTGTATCTGGAAAAGAAAGACTGTTGCTGATGATTTTCTCCGTTATAAAAAAAAAAGGAAAAAAAAAGGTTTTCCCTCTAGTGGGATTTAGTGAAACTGCAACGCAGAGAGCTTAAAAGTGAAGGACTATAATCGTGGGAAAGAATTTTCTTTGACCCTGAAGGACAATGCTTGTACAAAGGCTTGAACAAATGTTCCTGGAAGGTTTTTCAAAACTAAGTGCCCAGCTGGACCAGATGCGTCAGGAGACGACCTTGATGACGGAAGTTACCAGAGCACAGCAGCAAGTAAATGGAACTCAGTTAAAATATCTACAAGTATATGAACCTGCTGTAGTGATGGAGGCTTCAGAGATGGAGGGACCTTTGGACCGGCAGGATCAGCCTTTGAACTTGATAAATGAACTTGGGATAAATCAGATTCGGAAAGATGAAATGTGGTTAGATTTGGAAATGGGGGATGGATTGACCCCCTTTATATGGTTATCTGGACTTTCCGAGTCTGGTGATGGGCCATCAGAGGATTGGAGTAGTCGGAGCCTCCAAGTTTCAAGGAAACTTGAAGTGGTATTATCTGCTGTCTGGCTTGGACAATGGGCATGGGATGGACTTGTTGCAAAGGGTCAAAAGTATCTTTCTGCTGGAGTACCCACGACTGAAAGGGAAACATCAAGAAGAGCTGCGAAAGGGGCAAGAAAGAGATTTGAGGGCCTCGGACACGAGACAACCAGGTTAAGGAGCCGGACTATTGAGGTTAAAAGGACTGACAATCCCGGGTCCAGGGGAGGGGCGCTGGAAGTTGACTGGATTGTGTCTGACTTATTATCTTATTTTATTTTTCTATTTTTCAATATTGGGAACGTTCATAAATGTTTGAAAGATGTTGAATGAAACTATATGGCTTAAGTAAGGATTGGTAAATGATTTGCAAAAGGTAATGATGTAAGAATTTGGTAAATACTGAATATAAGCTTTGAGTTTTAAAGTTTTTATATGACAAGAGGGAAAATAGAATAAGGAAATGTAATGATAGAATGTTATGAAAAAACAGAAAGGATTTGCTGTAAAAATTAAAAATTAAGAAACAAGAGAGGGGAGGAGGAGGAAGTCTAGAAAGGAAGTTAATAGAGATCGTAAATGATTTTATACTTTTGTTTTTCTTTTTTTCTTTTTTTCTTTATGGTTGGTTTTTTTCTTTTTTATTTCTTTATCGTTTTTGCTTTTTGTATTTTCAATTTTTTTGGAAATTTTTGTTGTTATTCTTTGAAAACTTAATAAATATTAATTAAAAAAAAAATGAAATGGAATACTCAGGATGAAACGGTGAAATCTGCTATGATTAAATGGGCACAAGATGTTGGACATAATATAATGATGTCTGACTGGGAACAGTTATGGACCACAGGTATGAAGTTTACGGCATGCAATGCCTTAAGAGAGAATATTATGAAAATGGTATACAGGTGGTACATGACCCCAGTCAAGCTTGCAAAAATCTATCATTTGCCCGATAATAAATGTTGGAAATGCAAAGAAACTGAAGGTACATTCTTTCACCTTTGGTGGACGTGCCCAAGGATTAAGGCTTTCTGGGAGATGATCTATAATGAATTGAAAAAGGTATTTAAATATACCTTCTTGAAGAAACCAGAGGCCTTTCTCCTGGGCATAGTCGGCCAATTGGTGCCAAAGAAGGACAGAACTTTTTTAATGTATGCCACAACAGCAGCAAGAATACTCATTGCAAAGTATTGGAAGACACAAGGTCTACCCACTCTGGAAGAATGGCAGATGAAGGTGATGGACTATATGGAACTGGCGGAAATGACTGGCAGAATCCGAGACCAGGGAGAAGAGTCGGTGGAAGAAGATTGGAAGAAATTTAAAGATTATTTACAGAAATATTGTAAAATGAATGTTAGAATGATGTTGGATAGAAAGTAAGTGGTTTCTAGCTATAATACTATAAGGGAATATGAAAAATGGATTACTAACAGGTAAAAATTTAACGTTACAATATTTTAAGATTAAAGACTAGGATAAACAAAGAGGGGAAGGATTTGCTGAACCAACAAACCGAACTGGAATACAAAAAAGGGAGGCGTGAGGAGGTCTGGGAAACAAGCTAATGAAAAATAAGTAACGGAAAGATTGAGTTGTTTTTAACTATTTTTATTTTGCATTTTTCTTTTTTCTATTTTTATTTTGTAATATCTTGAAAATTTTAATAAATATCTTATTTAAAAAAAAGAGAAATAAATAAATAAAATCAAAAAAATGTCCAGTAGCACCTCAGAGACCAACTAAGTTTGTTCTGGGTATAAGCTGAAGTGTGCATGCACACGAAAGCTTATACCGAGAGCAAACTTAATTGGTCTCTAAGGTGCTACTGGATAATTTTTTAATTTTATTATTTTTTAAAAAATGCTTCCTGATTTGTTTTTGTTTTTTGCCCAATCATGGAATCAAGTGTCCCTTACCTGGTTAAACCGTTTTGGCCACACAATGGCTTCTGGGCTAATGGTGAAGTTGATATCAGCAGATGCCTTTCTCTGTATATTCCCTATTTTCACTCTGACACGAGACTTATTGGGAAACATCACCCAGTTCTCAATATCAAACTCAGCTGGCAGCTTCCCATTTTCATCCAAATGCAGTCCATCGATTGAACCATTTGAAAACTGGATTTCTCTTAAGAAAGGGTGAAGCTGCAGTGACAGGGAAACATCAGATATCCTGCCTGTATTCTGTACGGTGTTTTATACTATATTCAGTTCTTTTGTGTCATTTTTAAAAACTGTTTTGTTTTGTTTTACTGTATTGTAAGCTGGCCTGGCAGCTTTTGACAAATGGCAGTATATAAATGCTGAGATAAAAATGAAAAGAGAGCCCATCTCAACCAAGTGTAGAATCCTATGGCCAGGATCCCTTGTGCCTGTGCAGTCTGTTTTCTAGGTGCTACTAACTGTTGATGGGCATCTTCAAGACTCAGCAGGGACAGAGGAAGAGGTGAGAAGGTTCCAACTCCAGCTGAGAAGGCTGGATCTCTCTGTGGGCAGCAAGGAGGAACCACCAGAAAGTGTGGGGGTCTTCTGACAAAACTTTGACCTCTGCCAGAAGCCTCACAAAATTGGATTTGCTTCAGTAACGGACAGACATTTTGTCTCACTACTCAATTTGATTCCAGTTGGTTTTGGGGGTTTTTCCAGTTGGTTTTGGGGGATGTCATAAAGTTGGAATGCTGTATTTAAGAGACAGTCAATGTTAGGGACAGTATGTACACAAATTGTATAAGGGTAGAATGTGCAGGGATGTATGGGGTGTTAGGGAAGGTAGTTTTTCCACCTTTGATCCTCAGCTCTCCCTCGTGGCTCCTAGAAGCTGCCAGCATGTGACAGAAGCCACACTCTGAGACATGGCTTTGACTAAACCAGGTGAGGGGGGCTGATGGGTCTCAAGCTCTTGGTGAGTTAGGGATCTCCTCTGTATACAAAAAACCTGGCTCTGGAGGATTGAGCGGGTGAGACCAATATTGCGTCCTATGGTCAAGAAGGTGGTTACTGCATGTGCTATAGAGGGAAATGAAAGCTGGATGGGGCTTGGCAACCTGATAAACTAGCCAGGGCCGTCTTAAGTATATCTGGCGCCGTGGTGCAAAGATCCCTCTGGTGCCCCCCATCACCCCGTTTCCCAGAGTTGCTGACCTTTTTACGGCGCTGCCAGCAGCTTTGTGGGGCTGGAGGAAGGGGGCAGCGGCTGGAGGGGGCTCCTCCGGCGGGGAAGAGATGGAGGCTTCGGGCGCAGCGCTGCTTCAGCGAGACAGGTGAGGGGAGCGAGCTGATGCCGGGAGGCCCAAACAACCTCCACCTCTTCCTTGACGCCCTGGTGCCCCACACCACTTTCCTCTATGGGCAAGACGCCCCTGAAGCCAGCCCTTCTAGGAGCAGGGAAGCTTGGATGCAGCCTTGCAGCCGTACACATTGGTGAGAAAGGTTTCAGGAGTAAACCCTGAGGAACAACCCATAACTGCTGCCCTGTAAGGCATCTTCAGGAGAAGGAAAGGCTAAGGAGTAAACCCTACACAAATCTGGAGTCCCAAAGCAGGTTAGGGGGCATCTTGTGTTCCTCCTTCCGCCAACTCCTGCATCCATCCTAGTGCCCAACATATTGTTTTCCTTTCCTTTGGACCATAACAATGAGAGTGAGGGGGGTATTCTTGTGCCCTAGGCGGCCCAGGACCCCCAAACACCCTGTCCAGGCTTGCATAGTAGATGTCAACCAGCAACTCCTACTGATAAAGGGTGTAAGTAAGCAGAAACAATGCTTTCCATTCATTTGGCTTTTGTTTTCCATGTATGTTGAGATGGGGAACTTGTGCAGTTGGAATTTATTATTGTAGTTATTAGTAGTATTTCATTTCATTTCATTTCATTTCATTGTACCTTGCCCATCAGACTGGGTTGCCGCAACTTCCAATATACAAAAACACAACAGAACATCACACATTTTGTAAAAAAACAAAAACCTGGCTGGGACAATGAAGTTCAGTGTGAAAAAATGGGGAAAGAATTACCTGCCATGGCTGCAGCCTTTGATGTTCCAACCAGTCTCTTCCACCTCCCATCACCATCCACTTTGATTTAGATGAATAGGCAGCGTTTAAGGCATGTGCAACAACTTGGACATTGAAGTAAGTGTTGTAGCTATCTTGAGACAGGGCTGTCTCCATCTCTTCTTTGGGCAGAATCTCCAGTTTCTCCTCCTCTGTGCATCTGGTCTCGCCTTTTGCAGCCAACACATGCTTTGAATATGAACAATGAAACGCTGTGTTCCAAAATTGTTGGAGAGCAGATGAGTATGGACTATTGTAGCCACAGCTGATCCTTCTTTGAGCCTTCATTATAAAGGATAACGAACCATGGATGTACTGGAACAGAACAGGAGGAGAGGACATATAGGTATTGGTGTCCTGAAAAGCTGCTGCAATCCAGATTTTTGCCCCAATTTCTTTCCCAAATGTCCCTTGTAGTGTCATGATTGGAATCCATCCCATTCGATTTATTTCATGGTAAACAATGACACTGACTTGTGTCCAGGTAATGAATGGTTCAATTAAACCAAGCATTTGATGACCATTCTTTTCTGGAAATCTTTTTGATAATGCAATGCAAATTCCCTTCTTGATCATTAAAGACCTCAAGGCACTTGTGAACCTTTCTCCATTGTCATTGTCTGGAGCAATGAGGCCAATCCACGTCCATCCAAAATGCAGGAGCAACTCAACAATCCCTTGGTACTGAGTTTCTTCTTTGGGGACGATCCGGTAGACAAAAGGGAACTGAACTTCTTCAAGTGCCTGAGCAATAAAGCCATAACTGATCTAGTGGGGAATGGAAGAGTTTGGTGTTCTACTTTGCTTTCAGAAGAAAAGACCAGATACTAACCTGGGATGATCAATATCTAACAAAATGTGTGCTGGCTGAAGCTGAGAGTTTTATTCTGAAGCATTGGGAGTGTGTGAGGTGGTGGGGGCTTGGTTTTATTAAATCAATCAATCAATCAATCAATCAATCAATCAATCAAGCTTTGAAGAGAAACCCATGGAGCCATGGCTCAGGATTTTCTTGCTCCTGTTATATTGCTGAACTTCTCCACTATCCCTCCATTCCAGCACCCCACCCCTGCAAATACCTGAGGGATTTTGTAGATGCCTGACAAGACTGAAATCTCTTTCGAGATGACAGAATTTGCTCCTTCAAGAACAGCCAGGAGTTTGCTTTGTTTTCCACAGTGATAGTTGGGAATATTGCCTTCCCGGCCAGCAAGCAGGTCTAGCATGGCCTCAGACGTCCTCCGGGCATCAAAATAGTTCTCATAGAGGTTGTAGCCCAGGGTGATGTTGGGTAAGAGCCTAGGATCCTGGTTGATCTCTTGAATGGTGAACAAGAAGGACAAGGCATACCAGTAGGAAACAGGGGTGAACCTGCAATTCAATAATAATCATTAATCGTCAAACTGCTGTTCAGCATATAATAAAACTAAACACTATTTGAACCCCAAATAATGGTCTGTATGCTTGTGTGAGACATATCCTTGTTGCAAATGTGAAAACCCATTTGCTGCTTAAGAATAAAAATGGGCGAATTCACACTTCATTGCAGAATAGAAGCACACAGCCTTCAAATAACTAAACACAACACCCCCCCCCCAAAGGCTGTGATTGCTGCAGTAGTCTTGGCTGCTTCAAAGGGAGTGGGGAAATGCCCCTTTCCTGAAACAGAGAACTCTTGTCTGTGGAATAGGGGATATAAGGCTGCAATCCCCACCCTGCTTATCTACTGCATCCATAGCATTTTCTTTTCAGCAGGCATGGATTGTGCTGTCAACAAAAGTCCCTTTTAGCCCCACCAAAGAGGGGCAGTGCAGCTCTTTTCTCAAGCAAGCCATCAAGATGCACTTCTTGTTCCCTTTCTCTGAGACTGTCTTAGGTCCATGAGATTAGCTGGCAGACACAGCAGTGAGGAAGGATCCTTAGGAATATGGGTCCATGCTCAGAGCCAAATTGAGTCCCAAAATGCATTGCACTTGACTGCATACATTACTTTGTATCGGGGATTGGGGGGGGGTTGTGTCATTCCAATGGGGGGGAGTTCTTTTAGATTTGATAATGCTTTAAGAGCACATATATAGTAGCTGTGTAACCAGCAGATTCCTGCAGCAGAACTTCAACATCATTACTCTTTACCATTCCCGGCCATTTCTGGGTTGACAATGAAGAAAATTCCTTTCCCATACAGTTCTATTTACATTTTTTTTTATTGCCTCAGGTAATAATTCCTGCATTGCAGGGGGTTGGACTAGATGACTTTGGGGTCCCTTCTAACTCTACAATCCTATGTCTCTATGATTCTAAGAAGACAACTATTAATACTATATGCATACAGTTAGAAGCTACTGGCGTATCATGAGCTACACACTATAAACTAACTAAGTAAAGTAGATTAAAACTTGTCTCAGTCTGTATCAGAGTCTGCAGTCAATGAGGTTGTTGTAGTCAAACTGGAAGTTTGACTCAGTCTGAAGGCTGAAAGGCTAATGGATGCAGAAGACTATAAATTAGCCAACACACACACACACAGAGAGAGAGAGAGAGAGAGAGAGAGAGAGAGAGAGGAGTTTTCTCCTTCAGCGAGAAAAAACTGGGGGGACGGACCCTTTCATAATGAGTCATGACAGATGTCTATATCCTTGACCTCTTTTCAGGAGGTCCACCTCTGCTGGCCTTCTAACCCTGAACAGAAATCAGAGGATAGGCAAGAGACAGGCCCAAGCACAATTGATACAATTAACACCCATATTTAAATGACACTAACACAACTAACATT